ATTTATCCCTTAACCTTAAACTGAAGCATCGGATATTTTTATTCTCGTGAAATCATATAGATACACGTAATATGAATGGAATATATAACACTTCATTTGTGCTAATAATACTCAGAATTCATGCTTTATCGGTAACGTCGGGTATTGACACTAAAATGGTAACAGGGCTACGTAGTCCTATGAATGTGGGACAAAAAAAAGCATTGGATGATAGGTCTATTCTATACCTAGTCGGTGATAAAATGTTAAGCATCAAGTGCTGTGGCGCCAAAATTCGAAAAAATGCAAAAAAACGATCACTTCGACCTGCGAGTGGTTCATGTAAAGCTAACCTGTCCTGCTATGCTTGCAAGTAAATTTAACCTCACATTATAGCGAAAATAGTCTTCTCAATTGTCATGAATGATGTATAGTTTTGGGATCGTTCGAAGCAATGGAACAGCACTCACTTTCCGTTTCGTCGCAGGCTTTAATGTCTCGGCTGTACGCTCCTCTTACGAGCGAATGTCTCAGCTATTAATTGCGATAATAGCCGGGGCGGGAAGAAAGGAAAATCATAGAATCATCTAGAACCACGCTTGTGTTCCGTCGATGTCACTTTCCCGACCTTTCATTCGATCGTTCTTGGACGTGTCCCCGCCTCCTGGTACGAGTCTCTTCCTTATACGAAGGGGCGACGTGGATTGTGCGCGATTCAAAATGACATATATTTAACTTTTCATGACACGATAAATGCTATAGAGCGCTCCAAACAACGCTGACATCAATAGTACTGAATGACACTGATTTTCATCATAATTGGTACACACGATATTAAAGTAAAAAAAAAAATGTATGCTGCTCAAAATAATAGTGAGCTTGTTTTTATTCTCACCTGTCTGCATCTATCCTCATCTATGATAATTTTATTCTTATCTATCCTAATTCTATATATAAGTATATAGATTTTACAAAATTCAGAGAGGTGGTTCAAAATGATGTCTAATAAGTACGATTAGAACCTATGATTAAGTGGAATAGGGGCTCACATATAGTTCAAGGCAGATTAAAATTCTCATTTATTCTCAAATGTTCCTTTTTATTTTCAACTCTTCTCATCTACCTTCATTTATCCTTACCTATTCTAAACTGTTCTCATCTACCCACATTTATTCCCATCTGTCCTTATTTATTCTGAACTATTCTCGTCTATCCTTCTCCTATCCTCATTTATTCTCATCTATTCTTATTTATTCAAAACTAATCATATCTATCCTAATCTATCCACATTTATTCGCAACTGTTCTCATCTGTCCTTATTTATTCTGAACTATTCTCATCTATCCTTCTCATATCCTCATTTATTCTCATCTGTTCTTATCTATTCACATCTATCCTCATCTATCCACATTTATTCGCAACTGTTCTCATTTATTCTGAACTATTCTCATCTGTCCTTCTCCTATCCTCATTTATTCTCATCTGTTCTTATTTATTCTTATCTATTCACATCTGTCCTCATCTATCCACATTTATTCGCAACTGTTCTCATCTGTTCTTATTTATTCTGAACTATTCTCATCTGTCCTGATCTATCCCCATCTATGTCGACGGAATATAAGCGCACATTTGGGGACCAAGATACATCGATATTATCGGTTGCAATTTATTCCGTATAATATCCTGATCCCGAGCTTTCATCGGTTCAAGAACCATGTCCGGCGATCGAGGTACTTCGGATGCTGTTCGAGGGATCTTTTAAAGGTGATCGTAGCTCTCTTCTCGGACTCCTTTGATGCGTGGGGATAACTGGAGCTACCAGTTAAGTCAAGTGTATCGCGCCGGGACGAAGTAGTACACTGTTTCTTTCCGGAGTGCGTGCATCGAGGTTCCAGGGGATTGGCAACAACCGGCAGAACACCCGAGACAAGAGCATCCATCGGACGACTAGGCGAGGGCAGGAACTACTGTCCAGCGACTTGTGTTAATCATGAAGCTTCATCTGGTAAGTATCCCATTCAGTTCTTTTCACCTGTATTTTTTTTTCCTGTTCACACAGTTTTATTTTTACTTCACCGAATCCTCGCACATTCGTCTTTTTAAGACTTCAGAATACGTGTGGTCGTGGTCTGAACAAAAATTTTAAAATGGAATTAAATAATCGTTATTTAAATTCACTTCATTTTCCTAAATTAATATTTCTTTCATCTGAATTAACGTTTCACTAAGTCTTCCTTAATTAATATTTGTTTTCTTTGAATCATCATTTCACTTCATCTTCCTAGTCTGAATATTTTTTCTTGCTAATCAACAGGAAGAAATTACAATTGTAGTCTCAAAGTGTTAGAGGAGAATTGACTTCTAGATCTACATTTACATTCGCATCTATATTCACATCTATATCTACATCTATATATATCTATGTACACATTTATCTACATGTAAAATTCAAAAAGAAATTGATGTCCAATCATGTCCAACTGTATATCTACTTGTACGTAAACATTTATCTATATCTAACTGTATATCTACTTGTACGTAAACATTTATCTATATCTAACTGTATATCTACTTGTACGTAAACATTTATCTATATCTAACTGTATATCTACTTGTACGTAAACATTTATCTATATCTAACTGTATATCTACATCTATGTCTCTATGTATATTTCTGTATACCTATGCATCTGCATTTAAAATCTACCTAGAAGTTGTTTCTATATACAGTGTGGGCCTGTAAATAATATTTGGTGCTGCTTGTGCAACAAATTTTTTTCGAATTTGAGAGATTTGAAACTCTGCTGGAAATGGCTGCAAATTGAATAGGACTTGGTTAACGCGTCTGTTCATTGCATTCTGTTTCTACTTAGTATCAGCAAGAATACATAGATTATAGATGTTAGATGAATATTCAAAAATTGGACTTTCACGGAAATGAAGCATTATACGAATTAATTTTATCCTACATTTTCAAGTTATTTTTTTATGTAGAATAACCCTCCTGTATGTTTATATTTATAATCCATGAGGACATTGTTTAATTTTTTCTATTTTAATAATAACGCCCGTGTTACACCTCGTTCAGCCAGGAATGCATAATGGTTCCACGGTTTTGCACTAACGCGTTACTTTTAATTAATTCTTACTATGCAACCCAACTGTTAATCGTGTACGCAATTATTACAATTATCTGAGCGCTTACTCGACACCAAGAAGCGTGAAATTATTGATAATTAATATAATCTGGGCCACTGACGTGACCAACTGGAGTTCGAAAAACGAACGGGAAACCCTGCTAACAAAGACTAATTAATAAAACAGTCACTGACGAAAAATTTCATACAACAGGGTTCCTTTTAGTTTACTTTTTTCTGCTAATTATTCTACTGATAATTACTATTTAATTTTTATCATAAATTTTCTAATTATCCTAAATTTAATTACTAATTTTTTAATTATTCATCGTGATCTTATTAAAATTAGTAATTTCTTAATTATTTCTTACAGTTGTAGTTATTAATTTTGCGTGTGGTGATTAATGGGATAGAAGTGGTCGTGTAATGTAAATCATAGCTTCTTTGTTCTAAAACAGGTGGCTACGGCTGTGTGGATAGCAGCCGTGACAGCGACATTGGAATCCGATTCCCATGGAAACTGGAGCAACGAAAAGGTAAACGTAGAAAACTCTCCTGGCGGTTCAATACGTCTTGGTGTACGCAAATTTTCCCAGGGGTTTCATTTTCCCAGCCCTCCAACCGATCGGCCATTAAAATTCAGTCATTTACATAACCGAGGATACCAGCTCGATTCAATACTATTTGGCTAGTTGTTAATGAATTTTTAACAAAAATTACTTAGGGAACTTTTGTATCGCGAATGCTACTAGAATTCCTTTGGAATTCCAGAGGAATTCTTCTGAATACTATTTCTTCATCTATGATTAAATTACAAATAATTTTCTTAGATTATTTAATCTTACTTCAGCGTTTCGATTAATTTTACACTTGAACAAGGTGAATTCCATTGGAATTCCTCATGAATTCTGAATACTCTTTCCTCACTCATTGTTACATGGTCGCAATGTTTTCTCACAAATATTGTATTCTTATCAAAGTATTAACACCTTTTAATAAATTCTTCGTACTAAAAAATGGAATTCCAAGGGAATTCCACATTTTACCAAATATCTTTTTGTACATTATCTAACTTACTTACTGTAAATGTGGAATTCCGTAGAATTCCTTGGAATTCACATCGTTTGGAAAGTTTTCCCATCGATCAGTTCGTACCTCGCCAGTAATCGGTCACGAAGAAAGCATTTTGAGGAAGTAATACCCGGCAATGGCCTCTTCGAGTCATTACGCGACGATGACTCGCCGTATGGAAATGTTCACGTGTATCAAGGAAATGAAATTTTATTTATGGACAGTTCCATTGGCTCCCTGACACTGATAGACAAAATGGCAGAGGCGAACTTTCAAATTCGTCGAAAGAAATTGCATCTGATACCTCCACTCTCATTATTGGAATTACTTCGTCGGTTTTACTACTGGAAATTCAGGAAATATTAACCCAGAATTTGCCTCTTCGTACCTTTATAATCGAAGTATTCGTCTTTCTCTTTGAAACTGCGCACCTGACTTCTGATTTTAACAATAAACTTCCAATAATATTTCTCATTTTAATCAACATTTTTCAAATATACATTATTATTAATGTTTAAACAATTATTAATTTCAATATAATAAAACCACATAACAATTATGTCAACTTGTAATAAATCAGATGAATGAAATGACGAAAAATATAGTGACTGTAAAATTAACCAATCGAAATAGTATAATAGAATCTTTACATTAAAACATTACAAAACTATAAACATACAATGGCACCTGGGTCTTTGAACTTCTTTTACTTTTATTGCATTATTCATGATCTGAATATAAAATAAATAAAAACTAAATCAACGGTTCTGCTTTAATGGAAAATGTTAACGAGCCCATATAATTACCTCGGAAAAAGTGTAAACACTTTGTTCGACCGTTGTACAGATGCAATCTTATCCGCGTGCTCCCACGTTATAGGAGAACAGCAACCGTGTTTGGGTGAACGACGGAGAGCGGAAGTTACTTTCGACAGAGGACGAAACGAAATAAAGTATAATGCTAAGCGAGTTTCGTTCGCCTTACGTAAAACCGGGTGAACCTTTCACGCGCATAACCTCCCCGAACCGATATACAGAGAGACACACCAAGCCCCGTCGAGACACATCCTTAACCTTCGGGCATAGAAATCTTTAACCTCGATCTACTTGCGGGCGTCTTTCAAGTGCCACTTCGTGTACAGGTAGCGACCAACACCCGCCGAGATCCCATCTACCATGCGGTTTCTAACTAGATTCTACGCCCAACACCGTCACATTTCTTCTGGAATCGTTCCCCCTGCATAGATTGAAGACTAAAATAACTGGGGGCCATATATTAGGGGGCATAGAGTGAATACCAAAAGGGGAAAGAATATAATTGACATAGATTAATATATGTTGAACATAGATTAAAGAGCAAGGCTGAAAAAAAACAGATTAAAGATTTAAGAATTGAAGAAAAATGGTTGAATCATTAGCCCAATATAGATGAAACACCAAAAGACTGAGGGACATGTATTAGGGGGCATAGAGTGAATACCAAAAGGGGAAAGAATATAATTGACATAGATTAATATATGTTGAACATAGATTAAAGAGCAAGGCTGAAAAAAAAACAGATTAAAGATTTAAGAATTGAAGAAAAATGGTTGAATCATTAGCCCAATATAGATGAAAGAGCAAAAGACTGAGGGACATGTATTAGGGGGCATAGAGTGAATACCAAAGGGGGAAAGAATATAATTGACATAGATTAATATATGTTGAACATAGATTAAAGAGCAAGGCTGAAAAAAAACAGATTAAAGATTTAAGAATTGAAGAAAAATGGTTGAATCATTAGCCCAATATAGATGAAAGAGCAAAAAACTGAGGGACATGTATTAGGGGGCATAGAGTGAATACCAAAAGGGGAAAGAATATAATTGACATAGATTAAAGAGCAAGATTGAAAAAAAACAGATTGAAGATCTAAGAATTGAAGAAGAATGATTGAATCATTAGCCCAATATAGATGAAAGACCAAAAGACTGAGAGACATGTATTAAGGGGCATAGAGTGAATACCAAAAGGGGAAAGAATATAATTAACATAGATTAATATATGTTGAACATAGATTAAAGACCAAAAAGGAAAACAACGTGTTGATAGATTAATATATGTTGAAGAAGATAGATTAATGATTCGAGGAAAAGATTCTTCATGGAAGCAGTCAATGCAGACAGCTTAGAATATATAGATATAGATGCAGTGTCCAATCTATTTAGACATTAGAGATTTGAAACTGGAATCTTTACTATATTCTTCAAATACCACTGAATAATTCTAATTTATAGAAGATTGGAATAATACATGGAAGATCTTATAATCTTCATAGTCTCCCATTCTATGACACCACTGATTACATAATCTATCTTAAAAATGACTGGTCCCTGATATAATCCAATCTGAATCCAAATAATTGTACGTTCATCTGTTTCTCGGCCACGTTCATTTCTCACAGAACAAGGTGCACGCAACCGAATGACAGTTGGGTGATAGATGCCCAGTCCTGCTCGACCGTTTCATAAAACATGTAATTGACAGACTGAGAGGCAGGTAAACGTTTCCGAGTAGAAACACAAGGGGAAAGTGTAAGCTGCACTTTGTTAGACGAGCAGAGGGGGGCTTGTCGGAAGAGAATAAGACCGGAGTGAAATGACCTAGCCTGCATGCGAAGGTTAAGGACGACTTTCACCTAAAACTTGCGGATGAAGGTTGACTCTGAAGGCCGTCGGTGTTCCCCAGTCGACACACACATTTATTACTCTGTCATGCTCGTGTAATATTAATTCTCACCAGGATTGGATTCTTATGTCTGGCCCATGATTTTCATCCACCACTTGATTGGTAGTCATATCATTGAGCTAACCTCAAATCTATTTTATTTCCAATTTTCATAAGAAGATGAATTAATTGTTATAAATCTAGGCCGATGGGATCAATTTGAGTATTGATTATAAAAATCTAAATACTGTAAATAAATATTTAACAGCCCAAGACCAACATTTGTGAAACAGATCCTCAACTGTTAGGCCTCTTTGAACTATTGATATTAGGGGATACATACTACCGGGTGATTCTACTTTCTCTTCGAGGATAATTTCTGTAGGTCACTTGTAGTGCGTTCAGCCGCACGTGAAACGCAATCTTCTGTAATTAGGGTTCTCCACCGTGCCACGGTCCATAAGGGAAAAAGAACGCTCCCGAACCGTTATACTGCCAGCTAGAACTCTTAATTAAGAGTTGTATCGGTTACAGTCGGCGGAAAACGCAGAATCTTCTTTAATCATCAGGTTTCCGGGCAATCACTGACAACATTCTTACCGTTTCCATGCGTTTAACTTTCCTCCTGCGCGCGTTCTCTTTTCTTAAAAAACAAACCCAATACACATAATTCAAATTTTTATGGACTATTTTAATAGACCTAGTTCAGGCTTAATACACCCGTCAAGACTTAATCGTGTTTTGATATCTAACTAAAATCGATCTACTTAATATTGATCCATTCATCTTGGACTCTGAATCACCAGATCTAATTTGGAACCTAATCTGAATCTAACAGTCCAATCTAAACCGAAATGGACAGAATCCAGAATTCATCATGTCTTGACGCCTAATTTGAAATCTAAATTGAATCTAACAGTCCAACTATAATAATGATCTACATTAATCTAGCCTGGATCTACAATTTGGACTTAAGTGAATCAGAATATTTAACTTCTAATTTCCTCAATAAAAGGCTCATCTTCTGACTTCGTAGAACTATTCTTCAGTCGGTTTAACGTTCCACAGTAATTCTTCAGCTAACGATCAGGTTTTCTCTGGTCCGAAAAATTTCCTCCAAATAAAAACTGCGAATACTTTCTCCGGGCACTTTCGGATGAAAGCTGGCCCCGACGGTGACCCACCTACTCTCCAAAAATTCCGCGAAAATGATCTCCCTCTCGTCCTTTCTCTTTCTCTGCTCCTCCCTCTTCAGTCGGTGGCCAACCTGTTCCACCGGACGTTGTTTACGCTTCATTTATTCCGATTCAAATTTCCCGCGCGTCGAATAGAAATTCGTACACTTCTGTACGAGAGTTGTGAAAGTGTTTGAAACGAAGAAATTCAAATCTTGATGAATGAAAAAATAAATAATTAACAACGGAAATCAGAGGCATTGTCCTCTTCCGCCATTGTAATAATACAGGTGTTATTTAACCAGTAAACACATTCCTTCTGACCTTTGTAATTGATGTGAACGTAGGATTAGGTCAAACCTCAATGTCGATTTCCATCGTCTCGAATTTCCCATTAAGAAAAACATTTTTCATTCGTCGTTACGGTAACAGAAATACGTGGAAATATTGAAAAAAAAAAAAAAAAAAGAAATATCAAGCATCAGTGAAAATAAGACTCGTTTCGGTATACGGGCCTTTTGGGGAGAGAAACAGCAAGAGCTCTCAGAATTCATTGGCAAGTTTCACCGGTTGCGGAGATCAGGTTTCTGGCTAATTTCCGTCGCTGTGAGCTCTGCAGCACAGAAACGGAAGGACATATTGGGAATTATATTTGTCGGATATATTGGAATTACAGGTATGCACACACTGCCAAAGAAATAGTATTCGATTGTAAGTGGTGGGAAAGATACAGTGGAACTTCTAAAAATTTTGTTACCACAACCTTTCTCACATTTTGTCTAACCCTCTTTACAGGGATGTGAAGTAAATGGAAGATTCTTTAGAACTGTCGTGTCTCCTCAGATCCAGTGCACATTGCAATGTATAATAATTTTAACAATTGTTCTGAAACTACCTTGACTATCCACGAATATTCTTCTAATTCACATAACCTAAAAGGACGATGGCTATTCCCAAATACATATAAATTCTAACAATCCAAATAACCGACAAACACAGTCTATTTAGGCACCAAGACTAAGTCTGCCCTTGAAAACTCGGTAACAAATGTCTGACTTAATGGGGCACCGGTACCGGAAGTCGACTAACCTATACGAGCTAGGGTAGATGTCCCATCACTGCCACTTCAAGATTGTAGCGTAACTTCACTTAATCATTTCACCCGTTTAACCTAAAAATCGTCCCCGTTCGGAGCATAATATTATTTAACACCTCTTTCACTAACAAAAATAAACTTACATACATTAAATTCAAATTGTACTTTCATTTTTCAACATTACTTTTTACATACCAGGTACATGCAAGTAAATACATTTATTTCTTTATTTAGTCCCAATTTAATAACAAACCTTTTTGTGACAGTGATAATATTAGGGACACACTATCAGTAATTGGGACTTGACACACCCGAAAAAAAATATGGCTTCCGCACTCCACCGGTTAGGATATCGTCCAGGTAACTGGGTCTCTACATCTGGCGACAGAATATCTCCCAAGGAGATGTAAACAAGAAAAAAAAAAGAATGGCTAAAGTGATCCTCGAAAGGCTCAAAGCGATCCAGACAGGGAGTTGCCGTTAGAAACTCGCGATCGAGACTCCGCTACGCACCAATGGAGCGTTCGTGGGCCCGGTCGCGGGCCAAACACACTGTTTTACTCTTAATGCGACTTTGAACTCACGGGCGCTCGACTCTCACTAGTTTTTCTTTTGCTCCGCGAAGCTGCAAGAATGCGGCGCGCATCCTTTTTCCCGTTTCTCCATTCCTCTCGCTCGGAACCCCGCACAGGAGAAAGGAAGACCGACGTTGGTACCGTAAAGTCCACCTTTCTCTCATCCCGGCTCACCGGTTATTTTCAGCCTCCCGGTGCTACTCCACTTTAGCAAAATTCGCCGGTACGAAGCCACCAGGCTACGTCGACATTTCTCTCTGATCCTTGCCACGACTGGTCTATCAACGTCACACGGATCGTTCCTGGGCTGAGGAGTTCTGTGGCCCAATAGAACCCTCTCAGAAACCAAACTGATCCAATATCCTATAAGTTACTATTCTCATAAGAAGATTATGGGAAATGGAATTTTTAATATTTGTAATTACAAGATTGTAAATTTAGAACTACAATGATTTTCTGTGCCTTGGGTCCCATGGAGTTAATCAGTTTAGCTTCTGGGAGGTCCACATTCCCTTCAGATGTGCTTGTCCCATAGGGGATGAAGTGTTATCTGACTACTAAGATGTAGGTTATCCGATTGAATATGAAAAACTGAGTTAACTCTAACTTTGACACTTCAATTTAAAGTTCGGACACAAAATAGTTATTTGAAGAGATGAGTTAGGGTCAGAGCCTTCAGAAAGTTGAGATACAAAGTAATCATTTGAAGCGAGGAGTTCAGGAAGTTATAGACTTGAAATCTCGAGTTCAATTTTATATTTCGATTCTCTATAGGTTCGAGACACGATTCTAGAACATTTTCATAGATGATTTTCCACTCCTACCTGTAACAAATTAGGTCAGGCGTTCAGCCTCGCCCACTGGCTAGACTTCAAGCAATTCCCTTTAGTAATAACACAAACAATATGGAGATTTACTTAACAATATGTGTTCATAACATCATTAAAATTAATTCCTTGAAAGTCTCTAATTTTCAGTCAATTATCACCACTATTTTCTATTCGCCGTAACATAACCTAAAACGAATTATGGTCATCGGTTAACAGAACATTTTTCACAGGTGGTTCCAGAACGGAGGTACGATAAAGGTGATGGCCAAGCAAAGGAAGAAATAAAAGTCCTCGAAAGCCACTATATACTCAACGTCAATCATAATGAAGGGATCCGTAACTCTACTCAGCCCAACAACCCTGACGACGCGAAGAACGAGGCGTTGAAGCTCATCGCCTCGAATGAAAATAACGCTGCCACGGTTAGTATCCGAACGGAAAGTAAAATTTCAATAACCCATTACCTCCACGGTTAATCGATCAAACTGAGTAACAGGTGATTTACTTGCTTTCCCTTCCTGATCGGCTGGAAAGTTCATTCACTTTCGACGTCACGTTGAAAACGCTGAATAACGTCGAGGAAACAAGGAGTCCAATTTATCAGGACGATATAAAATCATCGTGTTTCACAGAAGTTAGGTTTTTTAATGGAGAAACGCGACTCGTTGCGTCAGAGATCTCTCGTGTAACGTAAATTCCACATATTTCCCATCCTCGATGACCCTTCGAAACACGCTTTCACTCGATCAAACGCAAAAGGAAACGCTCCGACCTCTCTGGAAACGATTATTATTCTGATCGAATGCGTTACCATTTCTTGTGCAACCGGCCATAAATTGATACTGAACTACTGGGAAAATGTGTTCCCAAGTTTGGCCTGATGTACCAGAGAAATTCGACCGGAATAGCAATTACTGTTTAATTACACCGTTCATCGATTCGAAATTATGTAAATCCACTTTCTTATCTAACATTCGTGAATGGTGCTTCCACAGAAAGCAAAATTATAGTGTTACATAAAGATACAGTTAGATATCACGTAATGTCTTTAATTGGTATAATGACGATATCAGGACAATCTAACTGGTGTTTAAGTTGTCTGCAGATTGATAAAACTCTTACTAGTAGCTTGTAATTAGACTTGATGTAGTGACTATATAAACGTTAAACCAATTATAACACTCACAAGTGGTGTAACATCGAATGAAACTATTATACATACTTCTGTATTCCATTTCCTCTATTTTTCAGAATGGGACATATAGTGACAACCCACAACGCTTCTCCAAGCAACTGGTTCAACCGTACCTGTTCCACAGGGAAGAGAAACAACCTCAGGAAAGTACTATAAGTGAATCAAATACTGTTCAAAGACCGACAAGGACCAGTCAGAATACATCCAACGATGCTGTCACAGTGGAGTATCTTCCATCACAAGAGATTACGGTTACTCAGGATTCAAACATACCACCCAAATACCCTGTTGCCCAAGAGAACAGCTCCAACGACCTAGGTTATTCTGTTCCCGACGATAAACTGGACGTAGAAGCAGTTGGAGAATTCGGTCAGAGAGTTCGTTCGCCACTATTGAGGCAAAGAAACAACAACTTCAATCGAGTGAAGTCCAGACAGCCTGTTGACACTGTATCCTCTTCCGAAGACTACAGAAAACAGCACAGAAAGTATTTTAGACCCTTAGGGACTAAGAAACTGAACGTTTCAGAAAGTACTCTGAACACGTCCTCCGAAGATCGAGTTATCTTTTCACCGGTTACAACCGGAGAACCACAGAGAATTCTTAAACAGAAGGATATTGAAGAGGATACGGTTAAAATTGATTTTCATCGGAATAATAAAGTGACACCAATAAGTATACCCTGGGTGAGCGAAGAAACAGTATCTCAATCAGTCACTAGAGATCACAAAATAAAGAAGCACAACTTGGACCTGCATTACACTGTCTCGACCAAGGATACTATCTCGTCCACTGTCAGCCCAACAGTGACAGTGTCCCTTGGAAAATTCTCTGGCCCAATTGTGGTGCCTGATCTGCCTCGTCAGAAGAAATATCCTTCAGCCATAACTGATTATTTAGCAAATAATGAGGCAGCCAAACCAATCCCATCAGAACCTACGAGAACAAAGGGATCAGATGCAGGATACCTAGCAGCTCCACCAGTTATTCTGAATCCCCTTCAGGTTGGCGTTGCGTTAATGAATGCAAAGGAAGATTTAAATTCGTTCAACGACCCTGTCACATTAGCCAAAGACTATTCCCAAGATGAGATTCAACCCCCAGAATCCGTTGTTTCTAATCCAGCCAGTGCTGTTCAAAATGACTCTATAGATTCAGGTAATTCTAACCTACAAAATGATCAATTGTCAGAACAGGAGCAGATCTCTGAGACACTGAACTCCCCTGCACATTCGGTCGAGATTCAGAAATCGGTAGAGATATATCACACAGCGCCTATACAGGAAATACATTATCCCATGGAGTATGTACCAAATATCGAGCAACCTCTACCGAAGCAGAACGACTACAGAAAGTTTCAGAAAAATCAGTTGTTCAAGGATAGGAGACCTGGCCAGCTCAATGTCTACAAAAGCAATGAAATCACCGATGAAATAATTCCTGTTAATAGTCAAGACAGAGATCGTTACGAGTACAACGTAAATGAAAATGATGTTGTCTATTCGGCTACTAATGGACAAGTGGATCAAGTGTACCGTCCAGTGGATAACAAGCCTGTGTTTGGGGTTAGGGAACAATTGGACAATTCACAACCTTCTGGACTTCAGGGGAACCCCGAAAAAGGTCAATCAACGATCGTCTCGCAACAGCCCTCCAGAGTGGTAGAGGACTTATCGAGTCTAGCAAACTTGGAAAGTTCTCAAGGTACCCAAGAGGTTCCTCAAATTCTATTATCCAAACCTACAAACGATCCAACAGAACTCAGGCTGTTAATGTCCGCGCCACAACCGTACCCTGTTGAAAAGATCATCGAGAAGACAGTCCACGTGCCTCACGCCCTAGACGTGGTAGAGAAAACTGTGCCTTATCCAGTGGAGAAGGTAATAGAGAAACAGATAACAATCCCACAACCGTTCCCCGTGCATGTGCCAATCGACAGAATAGTGGAGAAGCAGATACGTATCCCTTATCCAGTGCATGTGGAGAAGGTGATCGAGAAGAAGATACCCTTTACGATCCAGAGGTTGATCATACCGTTCCCAATGCATCACTTCAGAGTGCCACAATCAGTTCCAATCCCGATAGAGAAGATAGTGGAGAAGCCTGTAGAGAAGCCAGTGCATATATCTAGGCCGTATTCCCTAGAAGCTGCAAAGCTAGTTAAATCTGTGACGATTCCAGTTTATAACGTTCAGAAAGATGAGAATTACCAACCACTAGTGATCAGACAGCAAAGTTTCCAAACATTACCTGGGCCCTCGTACAGCTCTATAGGCGATGATCAGGTTTATTACAACACCACACAGCTATATGGTCTCGGTTACGCAGCCTTAAACCGCCCCTTAGGCAGGCAACAAGTTGTACATACACTGCCAAAGAAGTTTGGATCGTACGGAGTCCAGTATCCGCATTCTGTCGCTTATTCGGCGTTGGTTAACAATGGCAATTCTTTGTCCTACGGTAGGGGCAACGTCGAGAAGGATAAAATCCACGACGAATACGTGGGTCCTGTGCCGAGAAAAGCCCTAATAGGAATACAATCGAAATCAATACAGTACAGCCCACCGAATATCCAGGCGACTATGAGGAGAACCAGACAAGAGGGAGGGAATACTGGTAGCTTTAGACAGTCGAAGATGGAATATGGTTTCAAACCACCTATGGTGCCTTCTGTCCAATATGACGAGCAAACTGCCACTAAAGTGGAGTAGATACGATGATGGTATAATTCTGAGAAACGATTATTTATTATTACAGTAGGTTGGAGACAATGTGAATACATTTTTTTCCGATGGCAAAAAGGGTGCTGGGTTTCTAACGTCCACGCAACCTCTCCCCTTTTAGTCGCCTTTTACGACAAGCAGGGGATACTGTCGGTGTATTCTGATCCCCACCAACAGGGTGTTCGAATTTGAGAGGAGAATGTATGACGAATATTTTTTTTTTTTTAACGGTCACCCATCTTTCCTTTGTACGCGGACCAATGCTGTTTGACTTTGCAACCTCACATGAGAAAACGTATCTCTTGTGCACTGTAGTTTTGTGATCATCGAAAACTACTTAATTGTATCATGATTAGTGGTATATGAAGATGTGTGTATGAAAGAAAGTAGTATATTTATTAAATATATAGACGTATATTAAAGAGATCACTGTATAATTAATTGTTCATTGGATAAAATCTTGCTTGACGAGTTTTGTACACGTGGTTGTACTAAATTAATTATACGATTTGGTTTAGACGTTGAAGACTGATAGCATTAATGGTAGAAATGAATCAAAAAATATTCAACGTTTGTGACACACCAGCATCGCATTGCGACTGAAAACTTTTTCGAATTTAACAAATATTTTGATGCCATTTCATTGAATGTGAACTCTGTAATAAATGAAACGAAAGATTGTTATATATATATAAGTCTGAAATGTCCTTTGGAGTTAATATCTCCATATTCTATAATTAATTGTTGAAAAGGAAATGTATAGTTGCCTTTCTAACAATTACATTCCATAAATATATTTGTCGTCTTGTTCTTGAATGTACCGATGTGTAAATGAATTTATAAATAAGTTTTACTTTGTACACTTATATCTTTAACAGATTAGGATGTAATTTTGTATAGATCATTTGTAATATCAAGTAAGCTGGTTTTGTAATATTTTCAAAATAAACTTATTTTCTGATACCCAGAAATTCCTGTTGATTTTATGATTGTATCCCTCAAGATTCTACTCAAGCAAACCTGCTTACAGGTGGAATGAAAGCACGTTGTTAAACTTCATTATTTATTCTTGGACGGTACCTGTTTAATATTTGAACAATATATTAACAATCATTATCTCGTCGGCTCGATAAAAAAATACAGAAAATACTGATACAGTTAAAAATAAAATTAGGACACTCTGGAGCCCCGCCCAGGATAAATTCATTTCCAAGGATGCCTGATGCGCAATAATTTACCCATACGCACTTACATACATAAATATACATATATTCAATGTACAGTAGAATCTTGATTCTCCAGTGACTTGATGTATCTTTCTATTATAACGTATCACTTAATATGACAGTTCATTGATTTATTCAACACTTCTTCAAATTTCAAAATGATTACTACAAATCTACCACTATTTGCAAGATAAGAAAAACTTTAATGTGAAGTTGATGGACGCTGGTAAAGAGAAAAGAAAAAAAAACTGAATGATCAAGAGTATGTTAACAATCTGTATAATTTTATGGAACGTACAACAACAAAACTCCAGATTCGAAAGCTTACAAATTACGCCTTCCCTAAAGGATACTTCTCTTAACCGGTCTACCATAATCGAGATTCTACTGTACCGAGATAAAAATCTTTCTTTCTTTAAAAAAAAAAAATAATAAACAAATTCCTCTCACTCTATTTGAGACGTACGACAGGTAGTACGCTTTTGTTCGTAAAAAAAAAAAAAAACAAGATCACCATTTGCACACTTGGACCCAATTTGTAATTTACGATCACAGTTGCTACGAAAGAAAAACTGTACACTGACGTTCCCCGCGCATAATCTAGAAAAATGTACAACATAACAACGCCTCTCACGTGGCCGAGCAAACACTGAGAGAAGAAACGGTGAAGAAAGAGAATATAACTTTTGTTTTTGCGCACGCGAGATTCGTCCCTCCTCCACTCCCCTCCGCCACGCGAAGAAAACGCTTTGTTCTGTGAGGTGACCACACACGCTCGTCGAGGCCGTGTTTCCCTTAACCTATAAAACCAACCGTTCAACAACCGTCCTTGCGTCTTTCTTTTTTTTTACTCGTGCCTCGAGTTGCTCCCGAAAGTATGGAATGTTTTTGTTTCTTTATGGTACATGGACAACGTGAAAATAATAAAATCTGCGATAAATCGTATTTACAAGACTTACAAATCGCACCTAAGATGACACGATCTCGCCATTCACTGCACTTCGATCTTCGGAATAATTTTTGGAAAGCGCGTATTGCTTGATATTTGCTCGCCTGAAAATTTTTTCTTTGTCCTACCAAAACTGTCATTACACAGTTTCGGTGAATTTATTGCACTGATTTTCCGTGTGTCTCTGCAATGAAATTTCGAATACCGGTGATCGCTGCAAGAAAGAAGTGCAATAGATACGAGAGCATCCCTACGTATATAGAAGCAGTGGCGTAGTCAGATGGACTTTCTGGGCTTTTCTTTCTCTCTCTAACAACACACAGTAAACTCCTCGTCAGACACACATCACCAAAAAAACAGTAATTTCACCGCGAGATCCATACAATAATTTTTCACTCTGTTGCTTATAATAATAGGTTAAAAAAAGATTCGTAATTTTCAAAAGTTTCACAATGGACAGAACACACATTCAGTCGTATGCTCCACAGACATTCTTCTTCGTCGAATTGGATGAAATTTATGTAAACAAAAAAAGATCATAATATGATAAAAACAAGGTCTGGTTTTAAGGAGTCGCTCTGTTACCTCTCCGCCAGAACCAGTCCTACCATGATCTAACCTGTAAAACCGTTCCCATTATACACTCACAAATCCATTAGTTCGTGCCTTGATTGGTAATAATTATTAGACAGAAATGAAAACATTGGTCATTCAAGGCTCAATACTAATTACACACGTAGAACTATACGGTCCCAGATAAGAACAATGTAACAATTGCAACACATTTCTCAGACAGTCGAGGGGGTTTCCCTGTCGTGTTGGACTTCTGCAGAATCGATCCCTCTCCCCGTCGAACTTCCAACTACGTCACTGCGCAAAAGAGTTAAACTATCTAACATTCGGACTTGTCTTCCTCAACCAACTGCTGCGTGTCCTTCCCCGAGTCGACGGGCGTGGGGTCGAGTTCCCTCCTCTTCAGGTGCAACTGCGGCGGTTCTTTATGCTGGATACTGGATGGTTTCATCTCAGCTGGTAACTCGTACATATTACTCGCTCCTGTACCATTGGTGGCGCCTGTTGTCTCAGTGTTCACCGCATCGTACATAGGATTACTGAAATCTCTGTTCTTGTTGCTTACGTCACCAAGGTTATACTCTACATCCAATGGTTCCTGTATAAACAAATTGTACGCATACATTCTTACTACATATTTCTTTCCTCTTGCACATATACATCCTAAACAATCATTAAAAGACATACACAGGCCTTACGTACCATTCTTTCATGAGCTGGAACACCAAACTCGACATTGCTACCCTGTCTGAAGGACACACTCTGAGCACCGGTTAAGCTGCCAAGCCCACCAGGCTTACCACTATAAATTAAATACATACGTGTTGATTTTCTACAATATATTTACGGATCTTTCATGTTTTTGGGGAAGTACTTACAACGGCCGTTTCTTGAGCACCATGATAACGGCGGCAGCTCCGAGAAGGACCAATACGGAAATGACAATAGGAATAACGATGGCAGCAGTGGCGTTGCTCGACCTAGCTGCCACCAAACCCACTTCGCAGAATTCACCGTAGTAGTACGGCGGACAGGCGCATTGTAATTTACTGTCCTCGACCTCCTGACAGAGACCACCGTTTCTACAGGGACAGATCCTTGGCGCAGGTAACGGTCTCTCGTTCGTCGCGTCGCAATGCCGCTCGTTCGTTCGCATAGAGTCTGTCTGTTGAAGTGGACCGATACTGTCCGAACAGAGGCATCGATTCCCACCGGGGATCGGTACACAGAGATGCGTGCATTGATCGTCGTGGCAGAGATTCCTCAGGGTTGTATTGTATCTCAGCTGATGGTAGACTCGGACACCACCGGGTGCTAGCAGGTCGTTGACGATAGTCTGCGGCACGCCTCTGCCGAACTTGTCTTGCTTGATCAGTTCGCCGGTCCGCCTGGTTGTCCAATAGAGACTACTTTCGAAAACGTCCAACGACACTGGATGCTTCAGAGTGTCACCCTTTAGTATCACCTTCCTGTTTGTGCCATCCTGCAATAAATTTAAAAATTCGAATTTCATATATACGCCATCAGAGCGCGCCAAGTGTTCCTAACCTAACCTATGACAGTAATAATCCAGTAGTGGGAGATAAGGTTAGGATCTCTTGAAGTCTCACCTGTGAAATGGACTCTATGGTGTTGAGCTTGCCGTCAGCCCAATAAACAACATGATTCATGGAGTAATCGATGGCAAGCGCAGTGGGATGAGCGATTCGATCGGTGACCAGTTGTTTCCGTCTGTCGCCGTCCATCCAGGCGATCTCGATCTTCGGCTGGCTACCAGCGTCCGACCATATCGTCTTGCCCAGCTCAGGGTCCAGCACGATAGAGGTTGGAATCTCTAAGCCCACCGTGACCAAACTTCGACGATACCTGCCGTCCGATTTCGAGACCATTACTCGACCGAACGGCGTCGCTCCGGAGGAGTCGATCTCGGTCCAGTAAAGATTCCCAGAAATCCAGTCCACCGACAAACTGGTGGGCGTGGAATCGCCTGGAATTTGAAACGATTGTTGTATTCAATTGCATCAAGTCATTCCCCTGAACATTATATATGATTTTTTAATTTACTCTGGTAAGGAACAACTGTAATTACTTTTTATGTTAAGATCCTGCGCGTATCCAATTTTCGCCTGTCCACCCTTTGCGTTCACCATGTAAGATCTCTTGATTGTATTGTCGTGGCTGTCTATCCAGAACACGTATTCCGCTCTGGGGTCAAAGTCCACGGCCTGTACCCTTTTCTCGTTGGCGATCACCTCAAGCTCGTCCCTCTTGTGAAGCTCGTAGGCCCTGATCTCTGGCCCGTTCGCGAACAGTATCATCGCCTCGGAGTCCAATGCTTTGCAGACACCGCTATGGCTGTCGGATAGTTCGAAGCCCTGTCTGCACGAGCAAGCGTAAGTGCCGTTCAGGTTCGTACAGATCTGGGAACACTGGTGCTGGCCAGTGGAGCACTCGTCGATGTCCTCGCAATTCTTTTTATTGTCCTGTGCTATTATGTAACCGGGGTAACAGGCGCAAATGTAACCACCGTCGGTGATATTGTGACAGTAATGGGAGCAGCCGCCTTTGTTGCTGTCCAGGCAATGTTTATTGTGATCTGTAAAGAAAATTTAGGTCAGGATCCTGTTGTGGGCACCTTTTATTGTTCAATTACGTTAATGCACTTACGACAACCAAGCTCGTCGGAGGAGTCCCCGCAATCGTCAGATAAGTCGCAAAGCTTAGACCGTTCAACACACTTCTTATTGGCGCAAGTGTACTCGGCTATGGGGTCGCAAGGTCTAACTCTGAACGCACACATCGTCATGTTATTCTCATCAGACCCATCCCCACAATTGTCGATACCATCACACAATTGATACTTGGCGATACACTTGTGATTGGCACACTGGAACCTTCTTGCTGTGTCGCATTTGAAGTTCTCTGGAAGGATCCATCATCCAAATTAGACGGAGCTCTTCGACGCTATAGCTAGACAGTTATTAACATTAGAAATCTTACCACACATTTCCGGATTCTCATCAGACCCATCGCCACAGTCATCACTTCCGTCGCATATATCAGTCAGATAGGCACAGAGGTTGTTGTCGCACTGGAATCTCGACGGTGGACAGTACCTGCCACCTGGATACCGTGGAGGACATCCAATCTCATCACTCATGTCCCTGCAATCCCTGGTTCCATCGCACCTCAGATAAGAAGCTATACAGTGACCACTTGCGCATTGGAATGTATAATCCTAGAATAATAATATTGTATAACTTAATTGAATAAACACCCAAAAACTAAATCAATTTTGGGACTATACCTTGCACACGAATTTCTGACATCCATTCTCATCGCTGTTATCACCACAATCATCCTCGCTGTCGCACCTCCATCTAGAGGCAATGCATTTCCCATTGTCACAACGGAATTCAGACTCAGAGCACTCTCTGTAACGGTCCTTGCACATCGCCTCGGCCTCGTCGCTGCCGTCCCCACAGTCGTCGGCGAAATCGCAGAGCCATTGTTTCGGCACGCACCTGTTATTCGCGCATTTGAAGTCCATTTTGGGGTCGCATTTCAAGCAGTTCTCGGGTAGCTCGTCAGAACCATCACGACAATCGTCCTTTCCGTCGCAGAACAACCATTTGGGGATGCAACGGTAGTTGGCGTGACCTGGACACCGTTGCCAACCGGTGGTGCAGTTCTTCTGACGACACATGTACGCTGGCTCGTCACTGTCGTCGCCGCAGTCGTTGTCTGAGTCGCACATCCATACCTTCTGGATGCATCTGCCGTTCTTACAGGTGAATTCCGTGTTTGGATCGCACGTCCGGTTGTCTGGGAATTCGAATATCGATCAGCAATCGTGAATACATCAACTTTACCATATTTAAGGACGTATCGGAGGTACAATCCGAATTTGAAATTTGAATTGTCTTATTTTTTTACTCCTACAGAGGTATAATGTTATTTCCTGCATTATTTTCGATATTTTCCATATACTAAACCGAAACTTTTGATAACCAAAATGTTCTGCATTGAATTTTATAACCTTCAAATTTTGTCAAAACTGAAAACATTATTCAGCAGTACTAATAAAGAAATGTAACTTCAATAATAATTCAAGAAAAGATAAATTTGTATGTATCATGTAAAAGATTATTTTGAATATTACAGACAATTCTCGATTATTGTCTGGCTTGTTCTACACGATTATTGTCCAGGCGTTATCCCCACCTTTGGAGAGGGAGGGGAGGGGGGATTTACGACGGTCTCAAGCATTTTTTTGTTTTTGACAATAATCGATGGTACACTGTATTTTGAAGATAGGTCGGATAATCCTTAAATTGCATGTACACTCACGGCAAATAGCTGGATCCTCATCGCTACCGTCCTTGCAGTCGACATCACCGTCACACTTCCAAGACTCGTGGATGCAGCGTCCATTGGACTTGCATTTGAACTCCAGTTCACCACACTCCAACGAACAGTTGGCTTCGTCGCTCTTGTCACCGCAATCGTCTGCGCCGTCGCACACCGCCACGGTGGGTCTGCAGTTGCCATTCGCGCACTGGAAGACGCTGGGACGGCACACTCGTGAGGGGCAACTTGTTGGCTCGTCGGAACCATCTTTGCAATCCTTTTCGCCATCGCATCTTGGAGATAAAATACGAATTAAGGTATCTGCAGGGTAAGTGTATGCAGGCCAATGGTGGCAATGTACCGAAGGACTTGGGAGTACTTACTTCCAATACCAGGGTATGCATTTCTCGTCAGGGGGGCCGCAACGGTGCTGGCCACCGGTGCAATTGGCTCTGCAGGTCTTGCCGTCTTTCTCCAGCACAAATTGATTCGGACATTTACATTTGTACGATGTCACGCCTGGTTGGCCGTATCCCTCCAACAGATAGGAGCTCGCAGGTGGTGAGATAAGACAGAGATGCGAGCAACCGCCATTGTTCTCCATGCATGGGTTATTGTAGGGTAACTGTCGCAGGGGATGATACGCGTGGATATCGTATGGTCTGTGAGTGGTGTTGCGTAACGTTCGAATATTGGCTCCAGAGAATTTCTCAGCTCTCTGGATAGCCTTCAAGTTCCAGTCGGTCCAGAAGATGAAGTCGTCGAAGACAGTAATGGCGAAAACGTGTGGAACAGCAGCTCCCGTAAGGACCTTCCTTCTGTTATGACCCTCCAGATCAGCGAATGCTATGTAATCCAGATGAGCATCCGCCCAGAATATCTTGTCGGTGAAGTAGTCGATGGTCAAAGCATTTGGCCAGGCAATATCGTCCTCCCAGGTAAGGATCCTTGTGAAGTTGCTACCGTCCATTCCCACCTTACCTATGTACGCCTACAAATTTACAAAATTACAGGTAATACTGGACTAATAAGCCAGAACAGCCATGAATCTTTTCGAGGTTATACCTGCAGATACCAAGAAGTGAAGTACAAGTATCCAGTTCCAGGGTGTACAACAATAGCTCGTGGGTCTGCTACACCGGTCAGTAGAGTCTTCCTATTAGTTCCATTCAGTTCAGCGACGTCCAAATGTTTGGCATGTCGGTCCAACCAGTATAATTTCCTTCCTACCCAATCAACAGCTATTCCCTCCAACCCAAGGCTGTCGTGTCTGATTATCGGTTCTTTGTCCCCACCAGCAATGGGAGCCCTAAAAAGGGACGCGTTTTGTGAAAAAATATGTCTCAACATACTTCAAACTACATTTTTAGAACGAAAGTCTACCTGAATATGGTCTTGGCGGTAACGTCACAGAAATACAGCATCTGTTCAGAGTAATCCGCATCCAGGGCGACCACATTGATCAGATCCTGGTGCATCAGGCTGTAATTCGAGGCGTCGATGGACATGTTCCTGACGTAATACTTGTTGGTGAAGATGATCCAGGGCTTGATGTTGTCACGCCTTTTGCAAGTGCGCTCGTCAGCTGCACGGTCGTACCAATACTCGTTGCATTTGCAGTAGAAGCTACCAGGCGTGTTCTCGCACTGTTGGCTACAGACCTGCGGTGTCTCCACACACTCGTCTATGTCTTCGCAAGCTTTCCCGTCTGCCAACAGTCTGTAACCTGGGTTACATTCGCAGTAGTAACCGGTCGGCGTGTCCACACACTTGTGTCCACATTGGTTCACCTCGACCCGCGCGCACTCGTCCACATTGCAGTGAGCCGGTTCGTCGCTCTCGTCAGCGCAGTCAGGCTCTTTGTTGCAGACCAAACGTTGGTCAATGCAGTTCCCATTCGCGCACATAAATTCCCCTGGATTTGGACAGGTGGTGTTCTTCACTTTCGGTGCTGCAACAACAGAAAGCGTGTAACGATACGTGACCTCCAAAAAATTCCTCCTTGTCGAAATAGACGAATAAACTCAAAAATTCCCTCGCGTTGATAAGGATAAATAACCTCAAAAATTTCCTTTGTATTGGGAAGGATAGATAACCTCAAAAATTTTCTTTGTATTGGAAGGGATATATAACCTCAAAAATTTCCTTTGTATTGGAAGGGATAGACAACCTCAAGAATTTTCTTTGTATTGGACCGGATAAATAACCTCAAAAATTCCCTTTCCGTCAGCCTGGACAAACCCAAAACGCAAAGAAACTCCACTTACGACATCCATCCTCATCCGAGTGATCGCCACAGTCATCCTGTCCGTCGCAACGGAACTGTTTTCTGATGCACTTGAAGTTATGACAGGCGAACTCCTGGCTGGTGCAGGGCTTGTACCTAGAGTTGCAGAACTTCCCTTCATCGCTACCGTCTCCGCAATCGTTGTCATGATCGCAAAGCCAGTTCTGGTTCAGACAACGTCCATTATCGCAGGTGAATTGATTCTCAGCGCAGGGAGTGGGGGCTGGGCAATGATGCAAGGTCACATTCTCATCAGCCCCATCGACGCAATCTGGGTCCCCATCGCAGAGCCACTTCTTGGGTATGCATTGTGCCCTGTTCCAGAGTTTGTTCGCTGTACAAGTGAACTCTGTCTCCTCATCACACTTTCTGTCATTGCACTGATGCCTCTCATCCTCATCGGAGCTGTCCAGGCAGTCGTTGTCCCCATCGCAGATGTAGATCCTGGGTATGCAGTTCCCATTGTCACAGGTGAACAGATCCCCGAAGCAGGTTCTACCTTCACTCTGGCAGTAGCCTGGTGGCTCGTCGCTGCCATCAAGACAGTCATCATCCCCATCGCAGTACCAAGTGGCTGGGATGCATCTGTGATTTGGACACCTGAAGCTGTTCTGTGGGCAGGTCCTCTGGGCGCAGTGCACAGGATTCTCATCGCTGTTATCCCCACAGTCGTTGTCACCGTCACAAAGCCAGTACGGTTCCACGCAGATATTGGTTTTCTCGCATTTCAGGTGATTAGGGGGACACGTGGTGTTCATGGGACAGCGTTCGTGGGTCTCGTCCGAGGTGACGTTGTCCTTGCAGTCGTTGATCCCGTTGCAGACCAGGTGCTGGGAGATGCAACGATGATTGGCACATGTGAACTCGCCCTGAGCGCACGGGGGATAGACGCAACCCTCTTCGTCGCTACCGTCACGACAGTCGTTCTCGTGATCGCATTTCCAGGTCTTGAAGATGCATCTACCGTTGTTGCACCTGAACTCATTGGGACTGCAGGAATGGTGGGAACAGTAGTTGGTGTCCTCGTCGGAACCGTCCCCGCAGTCGTCGTCGCTGTCGCAGGCCCACATCCTCGAGATACAACGACCGTTTCTGCAGGCGAACTTGCTGGAGTCGCAGGTGACGTTCTTGGGCACACACATTCTATCTTCGTTCACCAGCCGGCTGTTGTCGTCGCACTTGCACTCGACGGATCCATTGACGCCTGGATGGCAGGACTGATCGCAGCCACCGTTGGAAATGTTGCAAGGATTCACTTTGCACTGCTGTCTAGCTGGAGAGTAGATGTGTAGGTCCCTTGGGGAGTCCTCTAATCGCTTGACCAGCTCCACCTTGTTGGCTCCAGTGTGCTTCTCGGCGCGATAGACGCCTCGCAGCTGGAGGTCGGTCCAATAAATGTGTTCCCGAAAGACGGTTATAGCGAATGGGTATATGGTGGCACTGACCAGGACTTGACGGTTTTTGCCGTCCAACTCGGAACGTTCGATCTTCTCACGAACAGCGTCGGTCCAGTAGAGCATACGGTCGTCATAGTCGATAGCTAGACCACTTGGCTGAGAAAGGTCCTTGTCGATGATGGCTTTCTTCAGTGAACCAGCCATCGTGGTTCTGAAGATCTTGCCCGAGGTGCCAAACTGTCCCCAATCGGTGAAATATAGGGATCCATTGCAAGGATCAACGACGATAGCTCTGGGCCTGTCTACCCTGGCTATCATCACCAAGTTCGAGCCATCGATATCCATCGCGTAGATGCTGTTGTTCCGTGAGTCTGTCCAGTAGACCTTTTTCTGGGTCCAGTCGTACGAGATCCCCTCGGGATTGATTCCTTTGCTGATCAACGTGTGAATCTCGGACGCTGATGGATTATCCGCCTGCATCCACGCGATCTTGGCCCAGGGCCTGATCTGCGTGAACAGCAGCCGTTTGTCCTGATAGTCGAAATCCACGCCAACCACATTGGTCAGATTGCCCACCGAAGAGAATGGTACGCTGGTGTTCTGGGGATCCAGGCCTATGGCTCGAATCTCCGTTCTGGTGGCGAACACCAGATACTCGTCCACATTCTCACAGCTTTTACCATCCGCCGCTAACTTACCGACCGAGCAGTCGCACCTGTACTGGACCGAGCTCTCCTTGGGCAAGGCGAAACAGAGCTGCTGACAGCCAGCGTGTCCACTTGGCGAGCATGGATTGGTGGGATCGGCTGGTTGACTGTTCTGATCGAACATGACTATGTCCCGTAACTTGGGTAAATTGGATCTCACTGTTATAGGCAGGCTGATGTTTGCGCGCTTGCTGGCCTTGAACACTGTCGCCAAGTTTCTATCCACCCAGTACACATCGTTACCAAAGATGGCGACACCCATGGGATTAGGTAAATTCCGTCTGATGATCTCACGCTGGCCACCAGTGTACGAAACCTTCTGAATGGTGTCCTGTTTCGAGTCCACCCAATAGACATCGTGAGTGGCAAGATCAATGGTTATGTCCCTGGGTGTGCTGATGCCAGATGTGACAATAGGGGTCCAGTTGCTACCGTCCAGGTAAGCCTTACCCAATTTCGGGTACTGACCATAGTCTATCCAATATAGATACCGTTTGATGGGATTCACGGCCAATTCCCTGGGTGAATCGGTGGTCTTCTTCACAAGGACTTTTCTATTGCTGCCATCCAATTTGCACACCTCCACGTAATTGTCGTGTGGGAAGACATTAGTGAAGTAGATATTACCAGCTATCCAGTCGATGGCCAAGCCCCTGATGCCATTCGAGCCTATGCCCTGCTTGACCACGTGTTGCAACTCGGTGCCATTCGGCCTGATACGGAAGATCCCGTTCCAGATGCCTCTATTGAACTCCACCCAGTAGATCCAGTTCCCTGCGTAGTAGATGTCCACGTGGAGTATATGATGACCAACCCCAGTGATCGGGACCATAGCCTCTTTGGCGTCCTTCATGCTGTATCCTCTGGCCACGTCCAGCTGAGCCACCACGGCGAACGTTTTGAACGGCTCGCAGGTGGTGTCGCTGACTTTCCTGTACTCCATACCGCAGGCGCAAACTCTGGTGCCGCCTGAAGCAGGCAGACAGATCTGCTCGCAGCCACCGTTGTTCACGAAACAGGGATGATCACCAGTGACGCGTTTCTTGTAAATGGTTAAGGTCTTTAGCTCGGAGTCATTATCGATTATTGTCATAGGATTGCCCCCGTCGGGCAGATCGACCCTCTCGATTTTATCGTATCGTGGGTCCAGAAGATAGAGCCTGGACTCGTGTACAGCCAGCGCTTTGGGCAAGGCAATGTTCTCTGAAACGATCGTCCTACGATTTTGGCCATCGGTGGAGATAGCTATGATCAGGGCTGGGTACGAGGAGCTGAAGTAAACCGTCTTGCTGGGTATGTCTATCGTTATGGCCTCTGGTCTGTCGACATTGTCCACCAGGATGATGGGATTGGTGCCGTCCATGTTCACTCGACCGATCTTCATTGGGATCCCAAAGTTCCCTTCGTCCACCCAGAATATATGTCCCTCTAAGGGATCCACGCACATCGCCTTTGGCTTTGCTACAGAGGTCTTGTTGCCATCGTTTGCCAGTACGATCGTCCGGTATCTGATCTTGCCATCGACTTTTATGGCTTCGATGTTGGACGCAAACTTGTTGCCTATGAACAGGTTCCTGCCCAGCCAATCGAAAGCCATGGCCGAGGGTGCGCCCACGATTCCACTCTCCCCGGACGGACTTGGGAACTCGGTTCTGTTCCCTCCGCTGTAAGGTGTCGTGTAGATTGTACCGTTCTCGTCATCGTCGTCTTTGGTCTGCAACCAGTAGATCATTCGCTCCCTTCTGTCGTAGTCGATGAATCGTCCACCCTCGACACCCACCACAGGCGTTATATAGCCTGTCTTCGTGCTGCCTGGCACTAGGGAAATATCCACTATCTGGGAACCTCGTAGCACCATCAGATACGGCGTTTCCTCTTCCAGACACTGTCCACTAGGAAGCAGCCTGAATCCTACTTGGCACTTGCAACTGTAGCCTTGGGTGGTTGTGGGCGACAAGAGACACAGATGGGAACAGTTGGCGTTCGCACAAGGATTTGGTGTAATCGGTTGCAGCACTGGATGGTGGACATGAATGGACAAAGGCTGGGATATCAAGTGGGACACGACTGTTTGATTAGCTCCGTAGAACTTGTGGGCTGAGAGGACTCTGTTCAGTTGCCTGTCCGTCCAGTACATGGTGTCCTCGAACAGGGTCAAGGAATGAGGATGCAGAAGATAATGGGAGCTGGCCAATACTTGAATCCTCTTGGTGCCATCGTACAGGCAAGTGTCGATGAAGTCCAGCTTACTATCAGCAAAGTAGACCCTCTTGTTCGCTATGTCCAGAGCAAGCCCATTGGGCCAGTAAATCTTGGTGCTGATGATGGTGGACCTATTAGTGCCGTCCATACCGATTCTCTCGATTCGGGGATTCTCGCCCCAGTCCGTCCAGAACAGCCATCTTGCCTCTGGACTAGGATCCAGACACATGCCTCTCGGTTGGGTGATGTTCTCCTTCACCAATATCATTCGACTAGCGCCGGTCTCTTTGGCCACCTCGATGGTGTTCAGCTTCGAGTCTAGCCAGTACAGATTCTGACCGATCCAATCGTAAGCAAGACCTTCCACCAGGTCCAACCCTGTGGATATAACATCTTCAGGATCTGTCCCCCTGTCCAACCGCGATATCTTTTTCAGCTTCATATCCGACCAGAAGATCGTCCCAGTGTGCATGTTACTGGCAGTTGCAACAACATTTTCCACATTAATCGGTACCCTCTCCAGCGCCTGGTCTTGAAGATCCGCCACCAGGATCGTGTGCCTGTTCGATATGATCAGGAAAGCTGCGCTGTGATTGAACGCCTTGCAGGTGTGCTTGTCCTTCTCCATGCTGTATCCATCCACACAGTTACAGTAATAGCCCGCTTTCACGTTCATGCATACCTGGGAGCATCGTCCAGGTGGATCGCATTCGTTAATATCCTCACAAGTGTACCCATCCTTACTCAACTCCTCCCCAGCCGGACAGATGCACTGTTTGCCCATAGGTGTCTGGATGCAACTGTTGCTGCAGAATCCGTCTCTGTACCTGCACTCCTGGAAGTCGCAGCCTGCACCTTCGTCCGCGCCATTCGGGCAGTCGAACTTCCCGTCGCAAACGCTGGTCACATTTACACATTTATCGGTTACATTCGGACACTTCCATTGCTGGGACTCGCACTTGAACTCGGGCGACGTGCAAGCATGCAGCTCGGTGTCCTCGTCCGAGCCATCCCCGCAATCATCTTTACCGTCGCAGATGTACGCTTTGAACACGCATTTCTCGTTACGACACTTGTAGAATCCTGGCTGACAACCGATCTGCCCGCAAGGGGCCGGTTCGTCGGACTTATCCGGACAATCAGCGGTACCATCGCAATACCAGCTTTTGGGTATACATATAGCCGAGCTGACACACTGGAATTGCTTGTCGGTGTTACACTGATCGGGCGCCAACGAGGGACAGCCTACCTCATCGCTACCGTCATTACAATCCGAGATCCCGTCGCATTTGTACGAATCAAGAACGCACATTTTCTGATCGGCACACGTGAACTGTGTGCTCAGACAAGTCACAGGCGGACAGTCCATCTCGTCCTGCTGATCGAAGCAGTCGTTATCTCCGTCGCAGACCCAGGACTGCGGGATGCAATGTCCTGACCTGGGACAGGTGAACTGAAAGTAGGAGCATGTCTTCGCCACGCAAAACTCGCCCTCGTCAGAGCTGTCCCCGCAATCGTTCTCCGAGTCACACCTCCAGGTATTCGGTATGCACCTGTTGTTCGCGCAGGCGAACTGGTTGCTGCTGCAGGTCACGTTTGGGCACCCAGCCTCGTCGCTATAATCCCCGCAATCGTTCTCAGAGTCGCAACGGAAGCTCATCGGCACGCATCTACCGGATCTACACTGAAACTCGTTGGGCCCACAGGTGGGTTTGGTGCAATTCTGCTCGTCGCTGTCGTCCAGACAGTCGTTCTCGCCGTCGCAGACCCAGGTGTGCGGTACACACCTCTGATTCGCGCAGGTGAAGTCCCAGGCATTTGGGCAGGACTCCTGGGGCGGTTCAGAGTCCGGATCGGATGCGCAGGTCCTACCATTCGGCTGAAGACGTTGCCCATAGGGGCAGCCGCAGACTCGAGTCAATCTTCCGGTTCCGTATCGGTTAGTGTTGTTATAGGGGACAGCAAAGCATAGTTTCTCGCAGCCACCGTTGTTGATGGAGCAAGGATGATCGGGGCGTGTGGATTGTATGTCGCGGCTGAACACTTTCACCCCGTAGAGCCTATTGCTGGCTGGTTCCCGGACCAGAATTGACTCTTGCTCGCCGGTCTCTTTGTGGAGTCGAATTATAGCGTCCAGTCGCCAGTCGGTGATGTACATCCACTCGTCATGGATAGCTAACGAAAACGGATGCCTGATCAGCCTGGAGTTCACTGTACGAACATCCGTGCCGTTTAGGTTAGAGTGCTGAACGTGATCCAGCAAGGCGTCGCACCAGTACAGCCTGTCCTTGATGAAATCGATGGCCAAGCCGTTCGGCCAACCCAAGGTTAGATTTCTAAAGACTATCAGATTGGAACCGTCTGTATGGGCTCTGCTGATGTTCGCCGGCCGGTCCCATTCGGAGAAGAAAATATAACCATGATTGGGATGGATCACTATCGCTCTGGGTCGTTTCAAGTTTTTCAACAGTGTCCGTCGGTATGTCACATTTTGGGTACTGAGGACGTTCAAGGTTCCTTTCCGTGAGTCGACGTAATAGAGATTTTTCGCCGCCCAGTCGACCGCCAAGCCCTCCACACCTTCGTTCTGGCTGGCCAATACGATCTCCCGACCGGTGCCGTTCTGATGAATCCTATAGATCACATCCTGGAGGACGTCGCTATAATAGATGTACGGATCGTGGGCGTCGTAGTCCAATCCGACGAATCTGGCTCGTCTTGAAACCACAGGCAAGATGGCGTCGCTGAAACCCTCCATCACGGGGTCCAATACTCTACCTTTGATGAACCTCTGCTGAGAGTACATCAGAAACTCTTGAACTAAGTTGCAGTTCCTTTGGTCGCTAGACAGCCTCCACCCAATGTCACAGGCACACCTGTAACCCAGTCTGTTCTCCTGATCGCTGGCTGCGGTCACGATGCACATGTGCTGGCAGCCGCCATTGTTGTTCCCGCAAGGATTCGAAACTTTTCGCTGAATCAACGGACTCAGAGCCTTGATCGACTTCGCGTCTCTCATCTTATACACCGTTTGCAAGGAGAAGTCTCCCTGATTCTTGTCCATGCTCATGATAGCCTGCTTGGTGCTGTCCGTCCAGTAGATCTTGTTCTCGAAGAGCGTGAGTCTTGTCGGGGAAGGGGTGTGCGATCCCCTGAGCACCATGACTCTGTTCTTTCCCATGTAGTTCGCGGTCTCGATGTAATCCAACTGGGAATCGCACCAGAAGATCCTCCTTGCGATTATGTCCACCGCTACGCCAGATACCTTGTAAGCTGCCTCGGAGATAACTGGAAAAGCTGATGTGCCATCCATATTCGCCCTTAAGACCTGCTTGCTGTCTGCTATGAACATCAAGCCCACCGTCGGGTCCAGGCCAATGTCCGCTGGATTAGTTAAGTTCGAGCCCAAAGCGATGCCGTGGTACCTTCCATCCAACTCGAACACGTCGATCTTCTGAACAGCAGAGTCCACAACGTACAGCTTCTCCCCTATCCAATCCACGGCGATCGCCACTGGCCCCCAAGAACTGGGCAACGAGATGTCCACATTCGCGCCCGTGTCCTTGCCATTCAATGGCTGTGAGTGCACCTTTCTGGTCTTCACGTCACTCCAGAACAACAGATCCCTGTAATAGAGGTAGTCCACCCCACTAGCGCTAGTCGCGTTCACCACGATGCTACGGTCTTCGCCGGTTGGGGACATTCTGTACACAGCACGCTCCTGTGCGACCAACAGCTCCAGACCAACGCTGTCCGCGTGCACCACTGCTCGACATTTGTGCCGACCCTCGATCATGTAACCCGGGGCGCAGCTGCAAAAATACGACCCGTCAATGTTCTTGCACAGCTGCTCGCAGAAACCCCATTCCGAGCACTCGTCACGATCTGTCGACGGAAAGAGTAACTGTACATAATTTTAATTCACAGGGTAAATCGTCTGGACTATAGGTGAATTGATAGAGATAAAAGAAACGTACCTACACACGTTCTTGAGTCGTTTGATAGAACCCTGCCCTCGGGACAGTAGCAAGCTCCTCCCATGAGAGAAGCCTGACACTTGTACTGACATCTAAGTAAATTGCACATGCTCGTTGCTGTGAACAGACAGAGAAGTGATTCAAGTTCATTATATTTCCACGTGTACGTACCAGTTCTGCGTTAGTATGTAGGATTTGAAAGATCAGGGTTAACGTACCTCCTCTGAATATCCATATTTAGGCATATTAATTGAAATAAAAAATTTAACGTTAGTAATTGTCAAGTTGGGCTATATACTGTGAAGGTTCCATTACTACATTTCCGTTGTAACCTATTTGCGCATGCGTGTTAATTGTATATGTAATGCCATAGATTTTCCAACCTAATGACACGTGGTGTTTGTGACGTTACCTTAATGCGTTCCCTGATTTCCTATTATAGAAAAGACATGGGGGTTTGATAATTTTTTTTTATTTTTGCAGTATTATGACTCATGTAAACACGGAAGGCTAGTAAACTGTTCACTCTCAAGGTTCACTTTTCATTAAAAAGTGAAACATCAGTTTCTGGTGCTATGAGTAACTAGAAGAGACCATTGCCTCCAGTTCTGAGCAGTGTGAATTGACAATGAATGAGAGTGGTATTTACAGCAAGCAGCTTCTTCGTCGGTGCCATCTTCACAGTCAGACTTCCCATCGCATAGCTGGGAACGGTCGATACACAGAGGTTTGTCATCTGGTGCACCCTTTGGGCACATGAACTTATTTCCAGGACACACAGTCACAGTACAGGACTTCTCATCAGAACCATCTTCGCAGTCCTTGTATCCATCGCAGTGATAAGATTTGGGTATGCACAGGGCATTGGCACATCTGAATTGGTTGATGGAGCACCCTGGGAAGCCTGAAATGATTTCCAATGAAAGATTCAAGTTTCTGATTAAGTTACAATTGGACTACAAACATATATGAGAATGATTTAGAGAAACTGGAATCCAACAGGAATTTCTTTATCTGATTAAAGACCCTATCAGATTTTACGTAACATAAAATCTATAAAATCTATACTGTACTGAGTTTTAAACAGTCATGTGTACACTATAAAATGTATAAAGTCTGCAATCCAGTTATGATTTATAGTTCATGCTGCCAAGAAAAGGCATGACATACTGCAATTCTCCTCGTCGCTGTTGTCTCCACAATCATCCTTGTAATTACATCTGGATGACTTTTCGATACAACGGTGCGTGGTATTGCACCTGAACTGGTCCAACCTGCAGGCTGGCTTCGCGTATTCGCACTTCTCCTCGTCCCGACCGTTCCGACAGTCCAGATAACCATCGCACTCTTTCTCCTTTGGGATACAGAGCTCTGGGTTCGTGCCACCGCACCGGAAGTCATCCGGCTGGCATTTCCTGTAAACTATACAACAATTTTCATATTTTAACCTCTCTGTCAAGGACACTGGAGAACTAAAGATGAGACCAGCGTGAGAAGAGTTGCGAAACTCCAAGATTAATTATAGGAAATGATCCAATATGAAAGTTTCTCTTATCAGTGGCAAATAATGTATAGGATTCTCTAATCATTACAGTATTAAATGCAGTATACAAAACTGTGGAGTGTAATAATGTGTCATTGTACACATCTATGTTGTCGGAGATGCGACTGCACGTAAGAGTTCTAAGATAGATCCATCAGTATCAACTTGTTGCGCAGAAAAAAAAGATCCCTACTACTAAGAAATGGGAGATGACCCTCATCGCTATAAAGATCATGACCTTGGTCTGGATTCAAACTGTATCTTCTGCATACTGAGTGATAATGTGCTTCGTTTCACTTCATTTCCAGCAATATCAGTAGTTTACAAAATACTGTAGATATCAAACTATGAATGACGCGTTAACGCTCTATGCATAAATAATTGATGATACTCACTGCAGCCAGCTTCGTCGGTGCCATCGACGCAATCGACAGTTATGTCGCATCGTTGATGGGGAGGTATACAATAAGTCTTATTGAAAATATACTGGCCACAGGTGATCTGTCCAGGTGGGCACTCAGGCCATGCTGGAAAAACGAATTCGGCTTATTAACAATCAAATATCATCATTGGCTGTGCTTTTATTAATCTAAAGTGTAACTTGATTACGACATTTAATTCCCTTATTGATTTTGTGTATAATGGATGTGTGCTGTTAATCAATATGGGCATGTAATCACGTGGACACTAAGGAATGCATTGCTCGAGTCGATTATCTAATTACCATTTACACGTTCAGTGTCAATCCCTACCGAGTTTTTGTAGCTGTCTTACCGAATAATTATATGTAGAAAGGAATGATTAACAAGAATTCTTCCCAATGCTGAAAAGTTTTTAAATATTTGTGCTAATAAATAATACTGAAGGTACTGACACCATTGAGAATATTACACACTATACTAGTACAAGTGATATTAAAATTTTTAGACAACATTCGTCATAAAATTAATTTTCTATTATACTATTTTTTTTAAAAAACAGACTGTTCTTTTTTTATTTAGCTATCACCTGTCAGATTTTGCTGTTCTTTTGTCATTCGTGACAATGTAATGTTCCATCATCGCTAATGGCGACTGAGATACGATGCTCGATAAACAATATTGTTCACGCGAGGGTCAGCAGTTACCAGATTTTACAACAATCGTAGATTACAGGCAATAAAAAAAAAAAAGAACAAAGATTACGTGACCCGTCGAACGTATATACTATCGCACGAAACATGCAAAAATCGTCTCCCGGAAGTGTTTCTCTAATGAAACGCAATTTTCATTCTTTTACATGCACTTCCGCCTGTACAATAGAACGTGGAGAATCCTCGACTGAAAATAATACTCACGGCATGACTGGAATTCATCTTCGGCGCTTTCGCAGTCTTTTTGATAATTGCACACTAGGGAGGCCGGTATACAGGTGCCATCGAGGCACTTAAAGCTGTTGCTGCCGCATCCACTGCCATCGGCTGTAAAACACAGAAAATAACGATTGTTACCCACAATAATCCAAAGAACAATAACAGTACTAACGTTATCTATCAATATTTTCGACCAATATCGACCACCATCGCTAGAAACGCGTTTCAAACTGAAAGGACTTTACGAGACATCGAACGACTCAGGATTTTCTACCCTTCATTCGGAACCATGGAAATTTCCACTAAGAAGATGGACTATCCAATCGATAAGTAAAGAATTTGCTAGGATTCGTTAAAGCAATAGCTAAGAACGAAACGTGACTCGATGCATCTATGGCGTGATAGGTGAAAGGTTCAATGGATGCCGGCTAGTTTCCTCTCCGGGTATATACCCAGAGAGTATCCTGGTGAGCACGCGACCGAAAAGGATCCGTTTCACGGAACAGGGCTTCTCCTGGTTCGTTTGCATTCTGTCCGTTTCACAAACAGGATGACACCGATTACAGCCTTTGACGCCGCCGCGAACCTGTTCCAGCGAAGGAAGTAATTCAGATGCACGTTAGAATTAGAGACGGCAGTCGAGACGCACTAAATCATCCCAAAAGAGGCTGTAAATCCTCCATTTCAAATTTCTATCGAACTTCAGAACCGGTTACAGAATCTAGTCGTGCTTTATCATATCCTTGAATCATGAAAAATGTAACTTTTACAAAGGGTAGAGCAGGATAAGGGGGTCAACAGTGCCCTTGGACCAATTTGGATCTACGATACACCATTCGATAGCTTAACAAAAACAAATAATCCGTACCAAGTTTTAACCCTCTATTTCCATCAGGAGGGTAGTAACAGGGAAAATTCGGATTATCGAGTTTTCCATTATTTCCTCTATTTAATGGGATGCAAAAATTCTGTAAAAAATCTGGTAGATAGTGCTCATCGGAACATGTATTTGAGAATTTTTTGCGATTTTTTGGTTGAGAATGTTGTTAAAGTTCTAGTTGCGAAAAATCAGAAACGCAAATAGCTTTGAATAGACAAGGTCACTTTGATTATCATTTTCACTAAAACTTTTAGTAGAGACCTTCAGTTGATTTTAAAAATGATTGTAAATTTGAAATAGAGACTACGTAGTCAGCTGTTGGATATTTTGATCCTGTTTCTCGGGTGAAACTCATTCGTCGATCATTACTCGATCATTCCAGCAATGGTTCGGCGTAGAAACTTCGAAATGGCCAATTAATCTGTGGAAATCGTTCGGAATATTCGAAAACCGATGACACTGATTTCGCCGCACGAGATACTAGTGTGCAAAAGATGACAGCCACGATTAAGTTAATGTTACGCTGTTTGAGGATGGATCTTGGTTAACGCGCTAGTTGACGGGCGTCACATATACTGGGTGTCCATAACTGAACTGACAAAAACCTTCATATTTGATACTTTCGGCCAAAAATATCCTGTACACGATGAATCTGTGTCAATTTGTTAAAGAAGCAAAACAAACGTGCGATACAATAAGAACATTTTTCTTAATTATGGAACACCCTTACACATGTAACGGTCTTCAATTTCTCATAATTAGACTGTGGACGTTCACGTAAATTCTAATTTTCATCGTCTACTCTTTTACAGAAAAATAATTTAATACAGGGTGACATAAATGTAACTCATCTTTGTGCTTCAACATTATAAAAAAAAGATTACATTATCAATTAATGGTATAATTTTTCAAAACACACACATAGAGTGTAATTTATATGCGAGTCAAAAATGACCCAGCCTTCGGCAGTCGTATCTCTTTTCCCCATTCGAGGAGTCGATATCACAAAGTTAATCATTACTGGCGTCGTTACATAACCTCATTGGATTTTTCTACAAATTGAAACTTTTTCGATGTACATTACTTTTGTGTCACCCTCTATAATAATAAAATAACTTTCACGTCAATATCACCAGATGTTCCAGTATAGTGAATTTATCAAAAAACAGTGGCAAGTCTAATAAAGACCTCGAATTTTACTAAATAGGATGCTTTCGGTAAAATTGGGCAAATTTCCATTAGAACGCCGCACGTGTGCGCAACGGCCAATCACAATTACCCGCGTAATTGCACTGGCGGGAATCACAAAATTTCAGGCGCGTTTCCTCCACGAATCTCGATGTATGCAACCAGAGATGATCAAAGATGTTATCCAAGACGAGGTAAGATCGCTTTCTTTTTCTTTTTCGTTTATCGAGGGGATTTTTCCGTTTCGTTGCGTGTGGAAGAGAGCGCTGTGTTGCGCGTTTCGTTCGGTCGGGAGAATGAAAAATGATGAGGAAAGAACGCCGGAGAGACCGTGGATGGGAGACAGAACGGTACCGACTGGCACCGTGGCAGATAGAATCTCAATGGAATCTAGTTGGAATCGGTTATCTAGCACGTTCCCCTGCCCGCCCGTATATGTGCATCCTTTCAAGGATAACGTCAAACAGGACACGGCTTAACCTTTCTCGTCCGATGACGTACCCTCGATAAGAGGAGCCTTTTTCAAACCTGGCAATTACGGGGATCTATAGTGTCGAAGGAAACTTCTTTTTTTCTCCGTTTTGCGACACGCAATAACACTGTTCGAAAATTGTTAATTAAAAATATTCTATTGTCTGTTATTAATATTTTAATTAAAATAATTCTCTATGTTATTGTTAGTTTGTCCAATTCATCAAAGAAATTTACCTACAATTAAAACAAAACCGATAAATTTCTTTGATGAACTTTTTACAAGCTAATAATACAGAGAATTATTTTAACTGAAACATTAATAACAGACAATATATTATATGCACCACTTCTTTTTATGTATTTATTTAGAATTAATAAAACAGGATAGAAATTCACAGAAACATTATTATTATTAATTATTATTGGTATTATTATTACAATACAAAATGGGTAAGATTACGTACCAGAGGACACAAATGTGGATAGTAACAAGTGATCACGATACGAGAGGTATTACGAATATTTTGGCAATTTTAGCTTGCGATCCAGAAATATTTTCGTGATCCTGGTCACGGTTCAACGGCAAACGTGTCCCCGACGAGAAAACAAGTGGTACCGCTGGAAGGGCAGTTTGGCGTTACGGAGACGTGCGCACGTTTCGCGAACGTTTCATACACGAATCAATTTAAAAATAATTGTTCTCTTTTTGGTTATCAAATTTTAAAGAATCTTGCAAAATTATTGGAGATAACTGCGTGCACCTGATAACCGCGAGTAAGCTTCGCAAACACTATGTTTCACGTTTGCACGAAGAATATCTCATACACCGGGTGGGCCATTAATAATGAACATCGAAACTGTTTCTGCTGGTAATTGAAGGTAAGCAAAAGTAACTGTAGCAGATTTACGTCTAAGGTGGGTACACAAGAAAGCCTTATACAGGGGGTCTCAATGGTTATGAACGTATAAATTATTATATGTTGATACTGAAAATTCAGAGAGGTGGCTGAAGGTGGTCTACGTGATAATAGGGACTTCTTTAATCATTTTTCATATCTTCGACAGAAATAATTTATATGTCCATACTTCATGGGACACCCTGTATATAGAGTACACACACGACTGGGAACAAGCTGTACCCTTAAGATAGAAATAGAAAGAAACGCCAGAGGACGTTGTTGTTCCTGTCGTACACTTTTATGCATCGGTGCACCTGAAGAGTGCTGTTGCATCTCCTTTTCTTGTACACACTACATATTTCTGAGTGCATTGATCGATGCAGTTATTCACTCTCTACAAAAAAGTATCGAGGTATGTACGCCTTAAAGCTACTAGTTTCGAAGTTATTCCAAGTTTGAATTCCCTCAACTGTCCCAATCCATCAGCACACTTTCTCCGTTGTCTATAAGTGCCCACCCCATGGCGTCTAAGTGTAAATGAGAGCACCACTAAATTGTAGTAAAATAGTTGCAAAATTCGATAATATAGAGCTCTGAAAGCCCCCGCCAGATTACCTGAAAGCAAAGTGACTTGTTCTGTTGGCCTACCACACAGGTTTATGGACCATTTATCTTATCAGAATCATCCATCTCAAGAACTGTGTGTTTTGGCCAGGCTGCAAAAGCTTTGTTCCTCTGCTGGATGTTTCTTCCACTTTATCATAAAAGGTTCCACCGATTTTCTAAATGAAACCCCACAACTGTGGGTTGGACGTGGCAGGCCTACCTCAATGGCTAGACCAATCACTAGATCTCACTTGGGGTCTGCCAACAACCATGTCTATGTGCCATCTAGGCCCCAAGTTGGGCTATCACAAAAGCCCTTGGTCCAGTGATTCACGACTTGTTAAACAAGATCTGGGGATTGTTTGTAAGAATAGAGCATCCATCCTTAACATCTGATAGAGATGGGGCTAACCACATCATACCTACAAACATTGCCCCCACTTTCCAAAAGTGCTTAATCTCCAGCAAACAATGTGTCATTCTTGCTCTACTGATTCAGTACAAACCTAGGGCTCTGTAATTACTGATAGTCATAATCTTCTACGAAAGCTTACAGCCCTCTTGCAATACTCACAGAACCCAAATGGGAAGCTAGATCCACTTTAAAATACACGATTCCGTTAAAAAAAAAAGGTTGACCTTCACATGACCTCTATGCGTCCACATCAGAAAGTCTGCCCCCCAATAACTATTAAACTTTTCTCCGAAACATTTTTCACTATCATCGACAGTTTCGCAGATACATTCGACTGGCTCGATTCATTTGGGACACCCTATACGTATATTTGTGTCTCTCCGCCGCGCGCACAGGTTGCGAATTTTCTCATCTCCGTCGCGTCGTCGTGAACGGAGGACCGTGTGTACCGGTGGAGAGAGGGGCGGAGAGAGGGACGGAGAGGCTAGGCCGAGAAAAAGAGAGAAGGCGAGCGCTGGGGCAGAGTGGGGCGGGGCGGGGGGAAAGGGGCGGGGTGCACCGCGCTCCGTACCAGGCGGTGCGCCCTGGTACCGACGGCAGAGAGGCAGATAGGTAGACGCGCGGGACTCGCCAAGAGACACGATCA